TGATTCAATCTTGATTAATTGAAAATGAAGAATTGAATTATTTATTTAGAATTTAATATAGTTTTTTTTCTATTTCATGATTATATAAGAATATCTAATACATTTCAATAACTTGAGAAGTTTCTTATTGTTCTTCAATATCTCTTTAATATTCAAAATGTTTGTTTTATTATTTCAATAACTTCTGTTCATTTATTCTATAGTATTTCCACTATTAATTCATTCAACAGTCTCAGTGTCTCAGATTAAGTATAATATTTTTATACAAAAAATATTGTTTTAAATTTCTTCATTCCTTTCTCTTGGTATTTTTATTGACTCTTTTTATCTATAAATGTAATGTTCCTCTTTTTGTTTTACTTGTTATATTTTTTTTTCAATTTTTTACTTTGTAATATTATTGCTTTATTTCATTATTATTTTATTTAATAATTTACGTGCAACAATCAGTTAGATAATAGTTGATGATAATAAATTTTAATGAAAATTATTCAATTAATTTTAATATTATATTTGTTATAATTATATTAAATATTTTATATCTGTTATATTTCTTTTAATATTTAACAATATTTATAAAAATTTATTTTATTTTAATCATCATTAATAAATTCATTAAATTTATATATTTTCTTATTGTAATTTATTGTTTCTAAATTTATTTTCTTACTTTAGAATTTAATTATTTCCTTCATTTATTCAATTAAATTTATTTCAAATTCCATTTATTTTGTTTGTTTTAGTTATTCATGACTATTTTTCAATTTTTTTTATTTTCTATATGAATATGATGTGTTTTTGTTTCTGTTGTCTACATTCATGAATTTCTTTTTTATGTTTTTAAATAATCTTCACATTTTAATATCAAAATTCTTCTTTATTATATTTATATATCTTCTTATTTTATACATCATCAAAAATGGTTGTGTTAACTTTCTGTTGTTATAGAATGTTATCAATTAATACTTTTACTTCGTTTATGTTTCATCTACTTTCTGAAGAGTATTCCTTCAATGTTTTATAATAATATTTTAAATGAACTTTATATTATTCTTCATTATTCTAAGTTGTGTTTAATGAGAGAAATAGAAGCTAAAAAAATGAAATGATGGAAAGAATGTCTTATGAAAAAAATAAAAAATTTCTTTTCAATAAACTAAAAATTCAAAAATTAGATTAAATGGAAAGAAAGAAGGAAGGAGTTCCATGTATTTTGAAAAGAAAGCAAGGAACTTTGGTGCTTGAAATTGAAAATTATGGAGTTGTGAATATTTCAGATAAAAAATATTTACAAAGTATTTGTGGATTAAAAAAAAAAAGGAAAGAAAAGCACCATAAACATTCCCATAACATAACAGAAAAAAAAGAACAAAAGAAAGAAGAGAAGGAAGTTAATGAAAAGAAAGAAGAAAATCCTAAAGAAATTAATGAAAAAAAAGAAGAAAATCCAAAAGAAAATAATAAGAAGATTGAAACAATAAAAGAAATAGAAACAATTAATGAACAAGAAGACATCCCTATTGTTATAGAAACAAATAGAAATGAACAAGTTGGAAATGACTTGGAAGTCAATCAAGAAATTCTTGAAACAAAAGAAGAAAAAAGAGAAGAACCAAAAGAACAAGAGCATAAAGAAGAAAAGAAAAAGAAAGGAAAACCAATTCCAAGAGATCCAAATAAACCGGTTCGTGCTAAACCAAATACAAAAGCAGATAAAAAAGTCCAATTTGAAATTGGAGATACATTACCAGAAGAAACTTTACCTCAAGATGAAGAAGATGAAGAGGAACGAGTTAATTATGTTGCACAAAGAGGAATGTTAACAAATGGAACAAATGATATTGAATTAGATAGAGAAATTGCTAAAGGTTATCTTTATGTTAATACAGGAAAATTAAAAGAAGCAATAACACATTTTGATCAATTATTAAAAAATCATCCAAATGTACTTGCAGGATATCTTGGAAGAGGAAGTGCTAAAGCAATGTTAGGAGATCTTCAAAAAGCATTAACTGATTTTAATCTTGCTGTAAAGAAAGATAATAAATGTGGAGATGCTTATAAAAGAAGAGGACAAGTTAAATTAGCTCTTGGTCAAACACAAAGTGCATTAGAAGATTTTAATAAAGCAATAGAATTAACACCAGAAGAAGGTGATTGTTATAGACAAAGAGGGTCTGCATACCATGCATTAGGTATTTTTGATAAAGCAGCAGAAGATATTAAAAAAAGTATAAAACTAATACCAGGTGATGCAACTCTTTTAAATGAATTAGCATTATGTTATAATGGAATGGGACTTGTTGATGAATCAATTAATACATATACAAGAGCAATTAATACTAAAGAAGATTATGTTGAGCCATATATTCATTTAGGACAATTATATAGGGATATTGGATGTTATGTTCGTGCAAAACAATTATTGGAAAAAGCAATGAAACTAGCACCAACAAATCATTTATCATATTATGTTATGGCTAATGTATTAGCATCTGCAGGAAGACATAAAGAAGCTTTACCATTACTTAGTAGGTCATTATCAATATGTCCACCAGAAAGAACAGGAGATATTCATAGATTAAATGCAACAGCATGTTTAGCATTAGGAATGAATAGAAGTTGTTTAAAGTCAGCAAAGTTAGGATATGAAGCTAAAGACAATGCATCATGGTATTTTGGAGAAATAGCAAAATACCAAGCAATGATGATAGATAAACCATTTTTAGAATATGATTTAGAATGGTTCCCACCACAATGGAAAGTTAATTTTGCTAAACGACTTCCAATTGGTAATGTTAAAAAATATCCCCCTGGAAATGTTCCTCTTCAAATTACCACTGAAGATATTGATACTAAAACAACTGTAAAACAAGAATTAGTTAAAGACTTATTAATCCCAGCTATAAAAGTTGGTGATAAAATGCAATATAATGAACTTGGATTTGGTAAAAATGGAAGACAATATTTGGCATGTGGCTTAGGTGCTATTTGTATTGCTCAACTTCTTCAAACAAAACAAATGGGATGGAGGGAAATTGCTGAAATTTTAGTTAAATTTAGACAAGTGGCTGAACCTGCTGATGGAGCTATTTGGATTGATAAACTTCCAAGACAACAATTTGAAGAAGGTTTTGGATCAAACACAACATTAAAAACAGCTCAAACAAGAGTTGCCCGTTATTGGCCAATGTTTCCACGTACTTTTGGATTATTTAAGAAATTATTTGAAGAAGAAAGTGGAGCTTCTAAAGAAAAGAAACAACTTGTTGCAAAAGCAGAGACTGTTGATGAAGTTCAAAAAGTGTTAAAGAGAGATAATTTCTTTATGACAACAATTTGTAGAAATGAAGAAGGAACAAGATTAGAAGGTACTTGGTTATTGATTGAGAAAGTTGAATTAGGAAGTATGTTTTCTATCAAAACACCATGTACTCCTAAAAGATATAAAATATTTGATGTTGAATTGAAAAAAGCTCTTGACAAATATTATACTGTTCAACACTCTGATGATCAAGACAAAATCTTGGATGCAGTTCTTCGATTTTGTTATTTATGGTTTAATTTTATGCCTTTGACTAGAGGAACTGCTGGGTGTGGTATGTATTGGATGTTTGGACTATTACTTAGTGCTGGATTTAAACAAGTTGGAGTTATTCCTAAAGGATTTCAATGTGATTGGGAAGCTTTATTAACAGATAACCAGAATGACTATATTACAAAAATGAAGTCGTGGATAAAGTTAGAGAAGTGTTCAGTCAATGAAATGCCAAATGTCCTTAATTCTTTACCTCGTTTAAGAGATATGTTAATGGCATTAAATATTTCTCCATTACTTGTTCCATTAAGTTAAATTGAACGGATGTTTGATTTACATAACATTTTTCTTTATTTTTGTCAAATATACTTATTGAAAATAAAAAATTTATTATTTTAAGAAATGATATTCTACTTAAATACTATATTTTATACTATTTTAAATTAGTATTTTATCTATTTATTTTAGTATATTTTATTGGTAATTAAATGAAAAATAATTGTATTTGATTGTTAGTATCAATCTAATCATTTCTAATGTTTCTTCATAATTCATTTGTCATATCAGGTATTCCTTTTTTTCATATATTATACGTTTAATGAGAGATAAATTGTTAAAATAAAGAAGTATCAAATAATTAATAAACCAAACAAGGAAAAATCAGAGAATCAACAAATAAAATAGTATTATATTCATTAACCAATAAAGAGATAAAACTAATGAATAAGATAATGATACAATTGAAATTAATAAAAACTAAAAAGAAAAATGTTTTCATAAAGACAAAGAAATAATGAGTTATTAACATAATAATTTAAAATTTAATTGAATTAATACATTTTTAAGAAAGGAATTTATTGAATGAATTTTTTTAAAAATATTAATTTTATTCTCTTTAATGGAAATAAACAAACAAAAAATATATTGAAATATTGAAATGTTATATATTGTGTTATTGTTAGTATGAATGATAATTTCCATAATTAACTCATGTATATCAATTCAAAATAACTAATTTAAAATTTACATCTAGCATTAATTTCAAACAAGTGATATCATGACATAAATAACAATTCAATCAAATAGTATCAATTAATTGAAGGAACTTCAATAAACATTTGATGAATTTTTATGTTATTTTAATTATCATAATAGTGTTGTATTTCATGAAACAACAACAAAAATTTATATTTATTGAAAAATGTTGATTATTTTAATTCATTTATTGTTACTGCTACGATCCATTTAACTGAAATGTATCTCAATTATTATAACTCCTTATCAACAAACAACTGTATTATTAGAAATAATTTTCTTTAATCAAATATATACATATCCTATTCAGTTTTTAACATATGAATATACAAATTAAATAGTATTTGACACTAATAGAAAGAGCCATTAATTAACACAATTTATACCTAACAAAGCCATAAATTCAATATGATTCAATTTACATGAAAATACAAAATAGCAAAAATTTAATAAACACAACACACAAATATATTTTTAAGTTACAGGAAAATAAGAATGAACTAATATGAATATTTCTTATAATATCATTTCTTAATTTTTTGAAATTTAACTTTATAAAAAGAAGACAACTCTTTACTGAAATTAAAAGTTGATCATTTTATACAGTTATTGATTTGTCTTTAAATTAAAAATTACCATTTTTATAAACTTTCAAATTCTTTCATTTTTCCAAAATAACACTATTCTATTGATTGACTCTCAGTATTTCCAAGACATGAAACAGTAGAATTAATACATGAAACAGTAATAAAACAAAGAATACACTTAACCAAATTTAAGCTATGAAAAATACTTTGAATAAGAATTTGTTTGAAATACACGAAGAAATGGAAAATATTTAACTCAATGGATGTT